AACAGCTGTTGAGACCCGAAAGTAATCGTGTCCTGCCTATCAATGATGTCCTTTTATTTCTTTGTTTTATTGTTTATTCTTTGTTATCGACGACGTCATCGATTTTGTTGTTGTTACTGATGTTATGATGGTTATGTTGTTGTTGTTTATGTTGATGTTATCCATGTTGGTGTAGCTGTTATTTGGTTTGTTAATAATTATCATCGTTACTGTTGTTGTTGTTGTGGTTGATGTTCTTGATGTTGTTGTTGATGTTGTTGATGTTGTTGATTTGTTTTTTAATGTTGTTGTTAATGTTGATGTTGTTGTTGTTGTTGATGTTGATGATGATGATGATGTTGTTACAAAAATCCTGATCGATATGTTTCATTCTTATTTTGTTAATAAAAACGAACATATTACATTAGAAGCCAATTATATAATTAACATAATTAACATAATAACAGTATTATTATTATTATTATTGTTGTTATTATTATTATTATTACGTTCCCCCGAAAGATGAAGATGGCGAAGTACTTCCATAGTTTGCAAAATAATTTGACCAATAATTATAAACACTCTAACGTTACAATTAATACATTTGAAATATCCCCTTTAGGTTTTTTTTAATACTTTTGATTTGTCTTTTATTAATTTAATATGGACTGATGATTTTATCAACAACCTTATTTATACAACAATTTCATCGTCATATAGTATTTACTGTGATAGAAATGCAAATTGAATGAACCATTAAGGACTAACCTTCTCTCGTTGTACACATCCTTTTTATAAGATGACGAGCTTCGGAGATTATTTCAAAACATTTTACTATATACATATATATTTTAATTTTGATTATCATTGACAATTATTGTTTTTTTTCATGTACGTTTTTACGATGAAAATAAAAAGGTGTTCTTATTACAATGATCATTACTATTATCTATATTTTTAATTTATCATGTTTTTTCCCTATTTTTAATTGGCTTTATTGAAGTTGAAAAATATAACAGACGATAATAATCACGACAAGCTCATAAAAATTTGTCGTAATTCTTAAAAAGATTCTCAAAATGGCAATCAGTTAACTCGCGAACGAGAATAAAAGACGAACATAAAATGAAACGCACGGCAGACTAAAAGTCTAAAAAGTTTAGTAGGTGATGATGTTGGTGATAATGTTGGTGATGATGATAATGTTGGTGGAGATGATGATGACGACGACGACGACGATGATGATGAGGT